GGGGGGTGGGAGGTGGTGGAAAATGGTGGCGGGTGGTGGTGGTGGAAGACGGTGGTAGAAAATGGTGGTGGGTGGTGGCTATGTTGGGTGGTAAAAAAAAAAAAAACTCAAAACTCAAAACGGAAACACATTTTTTGAGTTTATATTTTTTGGCCAAATTCATAAACTGAGACCACTGATTTATAAATCAAAAATTTACCAAACAAGTTTTTATTTGAGTTTTTAAAATTTTTGTAAATATAAAAAGAAAACTGAAAACGTAAGTGTTACCAAATGGCACCTTAACAACTCAATTGCATTTAATTTTAGGAATGTGTTTCTCTCCAATCTATAAAGTGGATTGGAGCATACTGTTGGGCCTGTGGGGTTCATTACGGATTCTGTTTCGATAATTCGAACCGTTCAATGTGTAGAACTCATCGATTATTTCATCCATGAAAAAATAATGTTGATTGGATATTGGTAGCCCCTTGATCGGAACACATTTTTATCAATAGTAAATATAATTTGAAAAATAAATTGTTAACAAAAATGTGTTCCGATCAAGGGGCTAGTAATATTCGATCAATATGATTTTTTGCAAAGATGAAGTACTCGACGAGCTCTACACATTAAACAATTCGAATAATTAAAATGGCACCCATGGTGGGGTCCCACGGGCCTAACACTACCCTCCAGTTCACTTTGTGGACCGGAGAGAAACCCAACTCTCAATTTTAATATTATGAGGTATGATTTTATACAAAATCCTAAACCTTTTTGTTTTCTTCTTGTTTTTACCTGCTTGTAGGTGAACATACTTCCAAAAATTTTATAAAAAATAAAATAAAAATAATACTATACATAAACATATACATTTTTATTATTACAAAACACAAAATTATTGTAACCTACATTAATAATGCAGGAATCTATTGACTTTTGTGTATTAGGTCTCTTTTGGCAATTAGGTTGAAAGGGAGTTTATTGGATTTTTAGCTTTTTTGAGATACATTATTTTTTTATTTTTATTTTTTGTATATTTAAAAAAAAATAAAAAATAATCTAAAAATTAGTTTTTTTTACCTACTTCTCAAAATAGGCCTTAATAGTAAAGATTAGTGCACAAAATTTGTGGATAGAAATTTTTTAGAAAAATCATGTCATTGAGATTAAACTATTCGCTACAATATATAAAATTTTAGGGATAATGTATTTTTGTTTTTAAAAGTAAAAAGTTTATTTTAAAAAAAAAATTAGAAATCAATTCTTGTAACCAGGAGGGTTGTCCCTAAATGGTTGCTGTAATCTTTCCTCTTGTTCTCTGTTCCTTCTTTGTATTTTCTCTTTCTTATTCTAATAAAAAAATTTCTTTACTGATAAAATAATAACAATAATAATAATTTTAGTCCTAAAAGAATAATAATTTGACACTAAATGTCGAATTTGATCCATAAAATTAACTAGTATGAAAACAGAAGAATGGATAGATAGCATGCCTGGGGTTGTAAAGTGAACACTGCAATATGCAGCACGGTGTTGCCTTCATTATCCGTCCAGTTTAGGATCTTTCGTCTATGGGTTCTGCGCATCCATCCTAACAGCACTTCAAAAGCTTCTGAATTCGATCTTCTCACAGCAATATGCAATGCAGTCTCACCTCGAATTGTCCGGTCCTCTATTGCTGCCGGACAAGCACATAAAAATTCAGCCAACCAATCAAATTCATTTCGTAGGGCTACGTAGTGCAAAGCAGTGTAGCTCTGCCTTCCTTTGACGCGTATGAGCTCCTTGTCAAAACTTATGAGCTGTCTCACAGTCTCAAAGTGCCGATTTCGCAAAGCCAAGTGCAAGGGACTTAGCCCACCTGGGTTCAGCTTCATACCAAATGATGGCTTTAAGTTCATCATTTCTGAGGCGAAATCGGTACTTCCAGCAGCGGCGGCTCTGTGTAAAGGAGTATCAACAAAAGGAATGTCATCTATTTTATCCAAAATATGTGGGTCTTCTCTTATGCACACGTACAAGCCATTGATGTCTCCTTCATCAGCAGCCGTAATCAACCTTTGTTGAGTCGAAGCCATGACCTGAGAGACTTTGTGATTCTAAGACACTGCAAATAATACTGAATTAGTGCTAATTAAGGAGGAGGAATGTGATTTTATAATTACAAGTGGTAGTGGCCATATGGGGTCATTATATGGCTGTCATCAACAATTTCTGTGAAAGTTTGATTAATAGTTTTAATTGCCAAACAAAAAGCTTAATTTTTTTTTTTTGATCGGCAAAAGAACACTTTATTGATGAATCACATATACAAACATATGATAGAAAAACAAAAAACTTAATTTATACACAAAAAATTAAAAAATAATGTACAAAGATCAAAGTTTATCTTTAGAAGATGTTTGACTGTTGCATGGCAAATATGTCAAAGATTGGTTTTTGCAGGATACTTCCAGCAGTCCAAATTCAAAAGTCATCTTCGGAGCAATTCGTCAATTTTTACCTGCTTCAATAGCAGTTGCATGGCAAATATGTTAAAGATTGGGGGTCAGGGTCATTTCGCATTATTTTCTCTCGTCCAAGGAGATATTTATAATTTTTAAAATTGTAAAGAATAATTTGTATTTTAAACAAATCTAATGAAGTGTATTTATAATTTATTCTAAAAATGCATATATATATTATTTATTTTTAAACAAAAAAAAATTATTATTTTTTTATTTTTGTGAAACCATATGCTGCAGGTGGACATGTCCCTATAACGTTTGTTTGATTAGGGGATTTGGAAAGAGATTGTTTGATTAGGGGATTTGGAAAGAGATATGAAAAGGAAAAAAGAAAAAGTAGTTAAAATGTAAATAAAATATACTTACATTTTGTTGGACAATCTTCACTGTATTTAAATAGATTAAATTCTGTTGTGTACAAAACAACAACAAGAATAAAAGAAATAGATAAAAGGAGAGAATTTGTTTGATTACAAAAATCAAACACGAAATTGAACATGTATGTGGCTCTTGGTTTTGAATTGAACATGTATGTGGCTCTTGGTTTTGAATTGAACATGTATGTGGCTCTTGGTTTTGAATTGAACATGTATGTGGCTCTTGGTTTTGAATTGAACATGTATGTGGCTCTTGGTTTTGAATTGAACAGGTATGTGGCTTTTGGTTTTGAATTGAACAGGTATGTGGCTTTTGGTTTTGAATTGAACAGGTATGTGGCTTTTGGTTTTGAATTGAACAGGTATGTGGCTTTTGGTTTTGAATTGAACAGGTATGTGGCTTTTGGTTTTGAATTGAACAGGTATGTGGCTTTTGGTTTTGAATTGAACAGGTATGTGGCTTTTGGTTTTGAATTGAACAGGTATGTGGCTTTTGGTTTTGAATTGAACAGGTATGTGGCTTTTGGTTTTGAATTGAACAGGTATGTGGCTTTTGGTTTTGAATTGAACAGGTATGTGGCTTTTGGTTTTGAATTGAACAGGTATGTGGCTTTTGGTTTTGAATTGAACAGGTATGTGGCTTTTGGTTTTGAATTGAACAGGTATGTGGCTTTTTGTTTTGAATTGAACAGGTATGATACCTGTTAGGTTTTGAATTTCAAACAGATTCAACAAGTTTAATTCTGTTTGAAAACGGGAAGGGCCCTGTTTGGATGAACAATAAATCCAAACCAGTTTAATTTGAATTCTGGATTTTATTTTAATAAAAAATAAAATTAAATTCAAATGTTTTTTGCCCAAAAAGATTAGAAGCACACACCACGCACCCGCGCCCAAGCCCAGGCCCAGCCCAGCCGACCGGACGGCGGCGCGCGTGTGGTGATTTTTGGGTCCAATGGATCTAGCCCATTTTGCCCATAACCTCTCTCTCTCTAAAACACTTGGGTACCCCTTGGGGCACACCCCAAGTATCTCACCCTAAGCCTTATAAACCCTTTCAAAACTTCCCACTAAATCAATGTGGGACAAGCCAATTTACAACCTTAAGGAATTTCCACCAAAACTCCATTTCCATGGAGCACACTTTGGCTTCAATTTCCAATTCACTCGGTAATGGTTTTGAGCAACCAAATATACCACGTGAATCACAACGCGGCATAGAACGCGTTACCACTTTGACCCGAGTAAATCGACACTCGGGGCCCACCTAAAAAATAGACCGAATTTAGGAAAAAATTCTGGTTTTATCCAGAATTTTATAACCATTTCCAACACATTTCACCTAATTTCACACAATTTTTTCCTTTCATTTTCTAAATTCTTTTTCAAATCTCTCAACCAAACACAACATAAATGTCACTGTTAATGCATTATATATTAATAAGAGATGGAGTATTATATTTGAAGGGAAGGTCATCTGTGAAACTAATCATGAATTTATAATGAGAGAATTGATTTACAAGCAAACATACTTTTACAAATATATATTGATAAAATAGTATTAATTTTTCATTTTTATTTTGGATTGTACCTACACAAAATTTGCTTATATAAATAAAAACTAAAATTACTAATTTTTTTCCTTATGGAAATCACTTATAAATATTAAGTGAGAAATCCAATTTTGAAATATTGTATTAATAACTAAATCAATTATAATTTATTTTTCACAGGAGTTATATTTGCTAAGCAATTTTATATGATTTTTATGGTTGATATAAATCATAGTTATTGACATTAACATAAATCATAATTATTGAGATAAATTTTAAAATATTTTTTTATTGTTAACATTATTAACTTATTCATAATTTTCCTTAAAGTAGAGGATTGGATTGTAAAATTTAATCAATTTCAACTTATTTTTTTTATTTTAAATTTCTCCATAGATAATTTTTACTGGTATAGTCAAATAATATTCTATTAAACAATTCATACATTTGGCAAGCAACCATCTATTATTTCTAGGTAATCCACCAATTCAATTGTTTAAAATAAATAAATAAATAATTCATAAACTTCATTTTTAAACTGCTAATAGTATAATATGACTTTGGTTTATTGAAATGAAATTCAATAGAATGGAATTGTTATTCTTTAGTCTCTTTATAGAATGACTATTTCCTCACAATGGTAGATGGTGATTTTATTTGTCATATTTTTTATTATTCTCAGTAAATTAAATGTAAAGATGAACATTATGATAGAATTATTTTATTCCATTTCATTTCAATGAATCAAATATAATTTAAGATCAAAAATTATTTTGGTGTCTTATTTTTTAAACTGAATTTAGGGATTCAAGGCAGCGGCTCTGCTTGCCTTGCCTCAGGGCCGGCCCTAGCAATATTTGGCAAAAGCGAAATAATAATAATAATAATAATAATAATAATAATAATAATAATTACAAATATATTAAAAAACCTTATATCTTCAATTATTAAAGTTAACAAAATTTTTAGAATTACATTGAAGACTTCCAATAATTGAAAGAGGCTCTGGCGTATATAATTAAATTAATAGACATCTTAGTCAACTTATATTTTTAAAATTTTCTGTTCATTTAGTCTAGTAGTAGGGTTAGGTATAGGATTATCTGATTCACGAAAACGGCCTAATCCGAACCATTCGCACCTATTTGGACGGTTTCGCAAAATCATTAAGGTCGGATGCGAATTAGGATTTTCCTACACAACCTAAATTCATTTTCTGATAATGGCCATGTAGAGTCAATTATACGTCTGTCATCAAGATTATCAAGATTTTCGGTGAAAGATAGATTAATAATTATGGGTTTGGCTTTGGTCCAGTCTAATAGTAAATTAGATCGTGTTGTTGGGTCTGTGGGGCCCACCATAGGTCTCGTTTTGATAATCTAAACCGTGTAATGTGTAGAACTTGTCGAGTACTATATGTTTGTAATCAATCACGTTAATCGGATATCGATAGTTATGTGATCAAAACAGTTTTTGGTCAACTGTTAGTTTGTTCACCGTCCATTTTTTTTATACAAAATTGATTTGATCACATAGTTATCGAAATCCAATCAACGTGATTTTTCACAAACATATAGTACTCGATGATTTCTACACATTGAACGGTTCGGATTATCAAAACGGGACCCAGGGTGGTCCTCCACCTGCCCAACAGCACGGTCTAGTCCGATCTCGGACTGCACCAAAGCCGAACCCAATAATTATAAGCTGTGTTACATGGACTTGGTAGTTGGAGGTGAAGTACCCATGTCAATAGGACACAACATGGGTGCGGGTATAGGATCTATGTCGGATTCCCCTCCTCTCTCTCAGACACGACTAAATGAAAAGAAAAAAGAAGATTGAGGTACTTACATGGATGAGTTGAGTTCGAGATCTGGATTTGTTGTATCATAGCTCATCGATGAGTGAATGTCAACTACAATAACCACATCATCTAGAGTTAGAATCGAGAGAAAGAGAGAGAGTCATAATCACCAAGTGGGAAAGAGAAGAAAGAGAACAGAGATAGCTTTGATCGTGCGTGCGTATTTCAAAGAGAGGAAAGAGGAGAAAAAAGGAGAAAAAAGACAAAGAGTTTGACTAGCTGGTAATGATATACAGCTGGAGAGCATTTTTGTTAGGTTCGGCTACTGGGCTAGACCCAAATAAATCAAATGAAAGTTTGGGCCTATTTAATGTTTTGTATCTGGCCTATTTCGTCTTGGTCTATTTAGTCTTTTAGTTTTAGTGTTTTATTTTGACTTATTTAGTGTTTTGGGTCTAAGTAAAATAAGTTTGGGCTTATTTAGTCTTTTAGTGTTTTGTATTCTATCTCACAACATCTTTATTAAAATAAAAATAACTTATTTTATTATATATAACATAATTTATTTTATATTTAAAAAAAATTTATAATTTATAATTTTTATTTGTTATTTATATTTTATTATTATTTTTTAACAAAATCTATTATTCCTTCGTTTTTATTTTTTATTTTTAAACTCATCTTCATATAATAAAGATATTTAAAAAAAAAAAACTATTTAACGTATCCCCATACCCGTATCTAAATTTGAATCCATACGTATCTTCAATTTCTAATTTTGAAGTGTCCGACTCCTAGATGCCTACACTCGATACCCGTACCTAAACTTCTCTTATTTTGAGATTTTAATATGAGAGAATTTGAAAAGTTTTATAGGATTCACTGCGGGTCCTGTTTTGATAATTTAAATCATTCATTTTGTAAGATCTTTAATTTATATTATTCATAAAAAAATTTAGTTCAATCTAATATTAGTAATATGTTTATTTTATTGTATTTGTCTCTAAAAAAATGAATAGTTTGTTTCAAAAATATTTTTCCTGTTCATTTTTCCAGAGGCAAATGTTATAAAATGAAAAGATTACGATTATTGAATTGAACTAATTTTTTTATAGATAATATATATTGAGAATCCTACAAAATAAACAGTTCGGATTATCGAAACGGGATTCGTAGTAGGCTTTATAAACCCCTCAAATTTTGTCATGTTGAGATCTAAATATAAAAAGTTGAACTTATACAAAAACAATCCGCTCCAGTCCAAAATCTGGATTGGAGGGCGTTGTTTGAGCTTGTGGGGTTCAATATGGGTCCTATTTCAATAATTGAACCATTCATTTTATCGGTCATTTTATATATTTTATTCATATAAAAAATTAGATCAATCTGATAATTATAATATATTCAATTTATTGCGTTTATCGTTAAAAAAATGAACGACAATTATATTTTCAAAAGTAAAGTATAGATTTTTTTGGTAACAAATGTAATAATTATTAAATCAATCTAATTTTTTATATAAATAAAATATATAAAATATTCAATAAAATAAATAATTTAAATTATTAAAACAAGAACATATTGAACGCCACAAACTTAAAAAACGACTTTCAATTTAGATTTTGGACTGGCGGATCCTCCACCATAAATTAAGGGTGGGTGCGGGTCGGTTGCGGCCACGGAACCTCCAATCCATCATCCGTCCACTAGATTGGCGGATTGAAGAAAATCAATTTGCATCCGTCCGCCAATCTGGCGAATGTGGATTGAGCGGATTGGAAGTTTGGCGAATGGATGCGAATCTGTTTGGCGGTTTAAAATTTTAAATTTCTTTCATCATAATTCAACTTGTACACTTTTTAAAAAAAAAAAAAAAAGACAGAAAGTATTACGGTCAATGACTTAAAAAAATATTACAATCACTGCATGCCTCATCCAAAGTAAGAAAGTTTGAAACTTTAGAAGATCGCAATCACTGCATGCCTCATCCACATACTACAATCACATCATGTCTCATTCACATAAAGTATTACAATCTGTGGTTCTTAAAATATAAAAACAATTCAAACCACTAAAACTATGAATAGAGTAATAGTAGAGATTGTATGTCTCTATATTGTTACATCTATATCTGTTTTTGAAAACAAAAACCAACCAGCATATATCATATTTTCTATTTATTATTTTTAGAGATAGATTTAAAAACCAAAAAATATAGATAAATAATACATTCAT